CACACACACACACATACAGACGCACAGCCGTGTGTGTACAAGCATAGATGGTAAAAGAGGAAGTCGGTACGATGGAGGCTGTGAGTGGTGAGCTGTGGGCAACAGTACAGCGAAGCAGAGCTCGAACTAGTGAACCAGCAGAGGCTACGAGAAGTGGGCTGATAAGCGGACGACGGATGAAGGAAGGATGGTGGTTTGAGGAGCTCGAGGAAACAGAGTTGGAGAAAGAAGAGCAGAGCAGAAAGGAGTCGGGTCTACGAGTGCATAGCGCATAAAATGGGCAAACTCCACGGGTGGGTCGGAGAAAGGGAACCTCGACGCTGAGCTGGCCGGGAGGACTAATGATGGGCCGGATACACGACTACAGACAAAGGACAGCAAAATTGAAGGGAAGGAGAATAGAATAAAAATGGCGCGAACTGACAGGAAGTTTAGAAGAGTTGAAACGAATCGAAATGAAGAAAAAAAGGTGGGCAAGAATAGGCGTTAGAAGGAAGTTAGGCAAAAGAAAGGCGGGTTTATATGCCGACAGGTCACTCAAGGCTCTACAAGTACATGTGCCCCAGATACACGATAGTGACAAAGTATGACTAAAAGAAGCGGAAGCTAAATGAGTTAAGAAAAATATGAGTCGGTGAGAAGGCAAGAGGCGACGAAAAGAAGCAATTTGGCTGCATGAGCCGGTGCGACGAGAAACAGGGTAACAGGAAGGTAATAATACTGAAGATAATGCCCATGCTCCTGGTAGTAGCAGCTCCGAGCACATTTATAGACAAAATTGCCAAACAAGCATACAAGTCAGGAGCCAAATGTCGAGACAATGGGTTGAGGCGTAAGGAGCATGTGATCACACGACGAGAGGGTAACAACGCTGAAATGTCTGCACTGCAATTAAGCAAACTTTGAGTCAAATGAGAAGTGGAAACAGTTGGATATGGGAAAAAAGTCAGCGATCCAACGAGAGAGGAGAAGTGGAGTGATGCGCTAGAAATAAAGAGGGATCAGGAGAACGACATGACAAAGATGAGATGAGATAGTGTAGGACGATAAGCAAAAGACAGGAGACGATAGGGCAAGAGATGAAGTCGAGCAATCTTACGCCAAGCTTCTAGACTTGGCCGATTCTGTAGTGAGGCGAAATCAACAAAACCATATACCATAAAGTGACTAAGATATGCAAAACCGTTTGGTAGTGCACCAACATACTCGAAATATCTATTGTTTTGTGGAAGGACGACCATGTGGGGCTTGTGTACAAGACGAGTTGACCGGATAAAGCATGGCGATAGGTGAGAAATGAATCCGGCAGTGTGAAATATTTTCAAAGTCACCCTCTACGCAAGAAATGAATCGAATCGACTAGGCCTAAGAAGGTGAAGGTGTGAAAGGGGATAAAGTACAAGCAAGAGAAAGAAATAGGAAGAATGCAGCAGGAAAATGAAGGACAGCCTCTTGAGTGTCTGTCTGCACTCGCTATCGTCAGAACTGTTTGTGATCTAATTATGTATGGCAGCAGATGTCCGATTCTCATGTGTTGCGCATCAAGACGGAAGAGGTAGGAGGAAGAAGTCAAGATACCAACCGAGAGATAGACGGAACTGGGCACCCTGAGACCTGTCTATCCGCGCAAGGTTCGCGGATTATCAAGTTCGTCTGGACGTATTCATTCTGAAATGGACAGAAGGTGGAAAAAGACGAGTGGACAGGAAGATGAAGACGAGAAATTGAGGAAAAACACAATGCGCCAAATGGGCACAGGCAAACAGACAAGGGGACGGAGATACGGATGGATGGATGGATGGATGGATGGATGGATGGACGGACGGACGGACGGACGGACGAAGAGACGGATAGACAAAGAGACTGGCCGAAGAGGAGACGGTGAGAAATGGACAGAAAAATGAGGAGCAATGCAAAAAAGGAGCAAGTGCAATTTGGCGAGGGCTAGTGGAGTAGAAAGCAAGGATGAGAGCCGATGGAGTGGAAGAGGAAACGCGCCTGGGCGAGCCTGAGGTGGCGTGGAGGTGCAAAGGGAGAATCAAAGATGGAAGAAGCGACGAAGTGGGCCCTGATAGGGCGCCCCAGTCGGGGAGGATAGGAGAGCCGTGAAATGGGCTCCGAGACGACCTGGAGTAGTCTGCAGAATGGGCGGTTGCCAAGGAGGACTCTTAGACCGGCGGCAGCCTGGCGGCGCTGCCGTTGGTCAACGACTGAGTCGGCTGCGGATGAACCGGTCCGGCGAGGCCGGCAGGAGGCTCCGGGTTCACACGAAAGCCCAACGCCACCTCGGGCTCGAGGGTTGCCAGGGGAGCGCAAATCGGCCGCTTAGCCTGTGGTCGTGCGAGTTTGAGTCCGGTCCGAGGGTCATCGTCGCCGCCGGTTCTGGCGGCCGCCAGCGACGAAGAGGGCGGCAACAGCGACAGTCGCCGGCCGGCCAGGTTGGCGACCAGAGGCGACAAAGAGATCCGGCGCTCCGGAGGAAGCGTGGAGAGCGCGGAAAGAACTCGGGTGCCGCGGAAGGCATCGATAACGCGGAGCTGAACACCGACAGGGCAAGAGAACGAAAAGCGGCAAAAGAATGGAGAAGCAAAATTATGTATTAGGTTACCTGCATACGTCGATCTACGCGACAGGATGACAGAACAAGAAATGAAATCAAGCATTTGGACGAATTGGGAGAGCCCAACGGCCACATTAATAGACAAAGCAATATAAGTACACCATGGTTGAGCAATAAAACGTTTATGTAAATAAAAATACCTGTCTATCTATCTATCTATCTATCTGGATAGATAGATAGATAGAGAGAGAGAGACAGAGACAGAGACAGAGACAGAGAGACAGATGGATGGATGTATAGATAGAAATACACGGACACAATCGTCATATAGCTCAAACCAAATAGCAGGTATCCAGATGAATGATTACATGCAACCCGAGGATGAAGGTCTGACGATAAATCGGCATGGCCCAGATTTCAATGAGCCGTAGTTGAGGTGGCTGGGCTGAAATGGCTTCCGGTGGCGGTTTCGTTGTTGAGGATGAAAGAGTGTATGAATGTGCACAGCTGGTACATGGACATGCATTGGAATTCGAGAGAGAGAGAGAAAGAGTGAGGATGCGTGGTCCAAACTTGATGCATCGAGATGCATAAACGCAAATACTAATCTAGGATAAATGGAGTCGTGGTAGTTGGCAATGGGCACATGTACCTGAAGGGTAAATCGAAGCAAGAGACGAGCGCAGACAAAACGAATAGGGAGGAGGTACAGGAGGCTAGAGGGAAGAGGGAAGAGGAAGCGAAAAGAAAGTCGAGGGAAGCAAAGAGACGACGAGACGTAGTGAAGGTGTACTGCTAAAACGGACATATAACCCGAACTAACGTTCAGGTAATGATGTTCAATGACAACAATGAGCAGATATAGTCAGACAGGAAAGAGAGAGGGACATTACGAATTGTATTATAAAATAGACACTGAATGTAAAAACTGTGGATAAATGTAAAAAGAATGCGGCTACATTGTTGGCCATTTGATGCTGAGAGACCAAGTTGTGACAGCACCCATGATTTCCGAGACGAATAGCCTACCTCAAGACCCCAAGAACCTAGCAACCGCGAGTTATGCTCATCTGTAATTTAATGAAATATTGGATACCCAACCGCACTTTGCAAATAGTAATAATAGTATCCAGTTTAAGCACAGGCATGACTTTAACTTTGCTTTGTTTCCTTTCATCGGAGGCGGGCTAATAGGACAGCCAAACTTGAAAAACCGCACACAAAGTATTGTTGAGAAGATGTTTACTTTGTAAGAGTACATAACTCGATCTCATTAGAAGCCGGCACCAACCTGCACAACAACTTGATCGCCTGAGATGCCTCGAAACTCTGTCACTTTTAGCAAGCGTACAATGTAGGCAGCACGCCTTATAGACCGTACTTACTCTAGAGACCACAATAGCAAGCCAACAATTTGCAGAACAAATGGCAACTACTCAAGCGGAAAATACCTCCCAAAGCCACAACATGACATAGAATGGCACAGCTTCAACCAGCAGTGAGTAGACACACATTGACAGAGCTCGAATCCAGCCTGGGGGCGGGTGCGACCGAGGCAGTAGTCGATCTGGTAAGAGAACCACTGCCCGGAGCGCAAGGTTGAGCAGAATTCATCAATAAAGCCAACTTGTCTCTGCAATATAGCACGGACAGATCAACAACCAGTCCTTCTAACCTCACTCGACCAATGGTGTGCCTTCACCCTGAAACTAGAAGAGATGTCTCCCCAGCTGGCAGAACGAACCCACACGTGGATGCTCAGACAAGATAAACTGGCAGCGGCATTGCCCAGTGCCATTAGGCGAAAAAAGCAGCATTCTCGTGGATAGAGAGACGGATGAGCGGCCGAGACGGAGAATGGTAGTCAGCCGAAAATGGGAGGATAGAAGGCCAAACAGAGGAGGAGAGCCAAAGAGAGACAGGAGAATAAAAGCTTAGTTGTGTAAGTTGGAGCGCCGGTGTCTGTAATTGTATACTAGAAGCAAAATGTTCACAGTGTAGTTGCACAAACGAATCCCATCTTAACGCCGAGCTGCGGTAGACGAGCTGGCCCGAGGAGCGAAGAAACTGTGGCCGGTGGTGCGGCTTTGCAAGACAAGAAAAAGGAGGAGAGAAGCAAGCGTAGTTAATCACCTGATGCGGTCGGTAAACAAAAGGCGCGAAAACAAGTCAGAAGAATTGAGACAACAAATATGTAAATTAAATGAGCATCTACAGCCAAATAGTTCGTTGCGTAGGCCTTGATTGTGACGAGCGATTGAAGTAGGCTGAGCAATGGTACAAGGCAGAGGGGTCCAACCGATACGAGGTTAGTGGGCTCGGTCCAGAAGACCGTTGTCATGGCATGCAATGACCGGGCGAATAAGGCCCGGTCGGAAAGTCCCTTCGTCGGGGAAGGAAAGTAATGCCTGGCCCTTGGGGAACCGGTACCAAAAGAGTCGCAAATAGCTGGGCGGAAATGAATCGAGGCCCACGGAGTCCCACTCTTTGGGAGTCAGCATTCCCTAGGATTCCCTCAATCGAACCCAGTTGGTGGGCCACAGGTGAACTGGCAAAAAGACGAGTATGCAAGAAAATTAAGTTGGTCTCCATGAATCTCTCGAGATGCCATTTTTGGGGAGATTTTGCTTTCGCAGTGAAAGTGCATGAAGAAGAGATTTGTAAAAGACGACGGCTGATTCGCGTTTACTGCAGCCGTTCGGATTTGATACGACCTTCTGGTTGACGCAGTTGCAGGCGAAAACGGACTGAGTTTTCGCCCAGCAAATGATGGACATCATCAGAGCTGGAACTCATTCTTGTAAAAGTCACACGTTAACACCCGAAGCGAGGGGGGATGTCTCGGGGACTGCATCAATTATAATACCGTATTTAAAGCCAGACGGCTGCCATACAGCGGGATTCGGTCGTCGTCTTCTAGTGAGCTCAACCTATGGATCTCTTCTTCATGCACTTTCATACAGAATGAAGGTCTCTCCAACAAGGCGGGTGTGGACATGAGAAGTGTGGCGGCTGGAGTATACTTGAGCCAAACGAGCCTGAATGTCAATTCGAACAAAGAAGCTGGACGAAATACCGACAAGATGAAAGAGAGAGAGGAAGAAAACAATAGAGAAAGCAAAAATACAATACACTACTGAAATCAATGATGCAAGTAGTTAGATTCCAGTAAATGTTTACTACAACTAGACATCACCAAAAGATACGCCACACCAAGTAGGAAAGTAAGTGAAAAGATATTGAATGTCTGTGCGTAAAATGCAAAGAATGTAATAATTTTGTTTAAATAATCCTAGCACCAATTGAAAGTTGAGTAAAGAAGATTCCTAGGTTAGTCCAACCCAGTTGAATCTATTGTGAGTGTCAATTGGGGGATAGTGGGCCTCGAATTCCTCTGAAAAACCGCGCATGAATCTGGTATGCTGTAGGAGACGTGGCTCTGAAATGAAACCACCTAAAAATCAGCAAGACAACCGAGGCTGCCCAGTGGGCCGGGACGAATGAGAGGCCGTTTGCGAATTAATCAGCTGTCAAAACCTAGGACGGGCAGTTCAGGGCAATACTTTGTCCCCAAGTATACATGCAATGATCATCGGTACCTCTAAAATTCATCAAACTTTACGAAAATTAACAGGACTTCGATTAATACCATGGGATAACCTCGATTTTGTGAATCTCCTTTAACTGTGAAAGCTGATGATGAATGTTTAGGATTAGGTAATATCTCAACCATGCCTTAATGATCCTGACATTAGGCTTTGTTACAATTATTCTAGATTATTACTAGTGATTTCCTATCTTGACATACACACATAAAGAAAATGCGCATACACACAGATAAGTGTATAATACCAAATAATTATATATATATATATAATTTATGTTTTTTACTAGTGAGTTTATTTAGCATGTAACTAGAGGCATTTGTAAGAATAAGATCCGCCTCTGACAATGCAGACTCGGCCTGTTTTGTTGGGATTACTTCCATTTCGAGTAGAAGTGTTGGGTGAAGAGATTCAAAGGTCGGTTCCACCAGAAG